CAAACCGCGAGGCAGAATTATTTAGATTATTTAGTATTGTTTGCATTGCCACGGGGTCAGATCCTAGAAGAGCTATATCGTCTGCGTACTCGATGTCTCTGAGAGGAAGCCCAGGGAGCACTTCGACCCCACAGGCATTAGAGGCTGGTAGTGAGTCTTCCATGATCGTCTCGATGACGATCATACTTGACTAATCAGCCCTCACTATGGGAAGAGAACATTGTTCTCGGCGGGTATTGCGTGTTGGTAAACGTCGCGTAGTGAAGCTTGCGCAATCTTCCGTAAAAAGTGTTTCGATGACTTGAATTACAGCCGGCTTGTAGGAAAAACAGCGTTGGACGCCACGAGTGGAATGTCCACGATGCACTGATTCTGGCTGGGCGGGAGGGGATTAGGTGGGAATAAAGTATCGCGAAGGCATGCGATCCTCCCCAGACCTTTCGGTAAGGTGATTTTCCCCATCCTATGATTTCTGCTCCCAACCAACGAGCAGTGCTCTCAGTCTCTTTTCGCTCGCAAAAAGCCCCCCCCCCCTATTCGTGCGTTAATGCGTCTCAATCGCTAGCTGTCGGTTGATGGGTTTCTCATGGGGCTATTGAACTACCTGCCACGTAAAACATGCCGTCGAGCACCTGTAACACTATCTTTTGACAGTAGTTTTACTGCAATCACATGGGTGGTCACCAAATTGAGTGTTTTCGCCTATGTTTCGCTTTCGAAGACAGGATCGCTTCTTCTATGAGAAAAGAGCTGTTACTATCCTGCAATTCGTACCGCGGAGACCACACAACCTCAGTTAACTACTCGTATTTCTAGGACTGGCTGCTCTTGCCTTTGTTATGACCAATTCTCAAGAACCGGCTTCTAGCCCACAGAGTTGTGGCAACATGTAGGGCCTACCAATGTTTGAACGGAGCTTTGTCGTTCGCCATACGTATCTTGCCCCTCCATACCGTTCCGCGACTGGCGCGTTTCCTATTTATTTGCTGCGCGCGAATCACAAACAGCAGTACCACGAGTTTGCCAACTGGGTGGCAAGCTTCGACAACGTTGTCCACCAGCAAAGACGTCAGGACGATAAACGCCAGTGGTGCTCATTCTGAAGCACGTATTGTTAGCCCGTATCTACTGTTTATTCCATAAGCTTGTGACCTTGCTTGAACCTCAAGGTGCAGAGTCCATTCCGATAGGTTGCTTTGAACACCCAGAACTTTGATTCCGAAAAACAGAATGATCGCAGTCTTGTAGAATGTTTGAGCGCGTTGTTCATTTAGCTTTTGTAAACTAGTGATCTGTTTCCTTTGCACAATGCATCTTTCTGGAGTAGTGGGTTTTGAAAGTCTGCAGTTGCACTTGGATTGGCAGCTAGGCGCACGATGGTTTTACAACGATTGCGAGCAAGTCACTGATTGGTCTTTTTGCCTATCTGGAACTTATTTGGGAACGTCTGGTCGGCTGTCTCGAAACCTGTATTTCCTAATTGGTCTTATTGCGGCCATCGGCCACTGATTTTCAGAGCTGTCATCTGTAATCAAGCTATCTAAATACCCCAACAGTGGTTACGTTTTCTGTACTCTTCCGACATTGTTTATGGGTTTCACTCTTACACTGCTCCTTTGTCGGTACGCCTTCGTGTCCATACCCGTGGACGTGGCACCACAACACAAGAGGACAGCTTGGATATTTGGTTGGGTTACCCGGCGCAACGTCCTATTCGGTAGTATCCCAGCCCTCGGGTGGCATGGCAGCTAGGCACCGGAAGGGTGCTACAGCTGAACGCTTTGTCTTTTGTCCTATTCGGTGAAGATCTCTGTGGGTACTACCAGAGACTTGCTTTTCTCTTTCCGAGCTTTACTGTTTGTAACCCCCACTTCCAAGAAGAATGATTTCATGTCAGACTAGATTATCTCTAGATGATCAGCAGGTCATCATCATCTGTTCGCCGAGCGTGGCAATTGAATTGCATACGTTTCGCCACCATTCGAAGAGACATCATAAGTGCGGTGTTGGGTGGGTTGTGTTCCATACATTTGTGTAGAATTTTACCTGAAATCACTGTCGATAGTTTCAGGCCGTGGTAAAAACGGCAAATAATTCCAAATCCTAGGGTATATTCATCGATTAGCTATACAGGTCCTTTTTTGACACTAGTTCAGTATTACATCAAACCGATGATGTAATGTTATCTATGGGAAACCTGCCTCGGCTTTCGACCGCTTTTCTATACAACTTGTCCATCTGATCTTTATTTCTCGCGACTGTAATGAGAGAATAATCGTTCAGCTGTAACACTTTCGGTGCCTAGCTGCCGCACCACCCAGAGGAAGCCTAGACAGAAGAAGCCAAGAGGCAGAAGTCGGGTCTAAACCGCGGACCTTCCGATCATTGTATTCGTGCTCTAACCGCTTAAGCAATCTCACCCCGGTGACGTGATGGCATTTACTTGGTCTGTATTTGGATGGTCCGCACGCAGTTCCAGTTTAGTTGATGCATTCTTGATGCGCACTTGCCGGCGCTACTTGCCCACCACGATGTGGACCGTGTGATCCCCACTGCGCCTGGTTGGGGACGCTGGAAGATATGGCTACCGACCGTTGTCAGTGGCGCTCTTGTCTGTTTCTATTCAGATTGCCTGAGAGAGTGGAGGTGTAAGCGCCTCGGAATAACCAGTATGGTAGCACTGAGTCGCTTCCTAGTCCATCTTTATTCTTTTCTCTACAACAAGGCTTTCAAAAAAACGGCAGTCTTGAACACCGAGGTCATGCTATCCATGATGATTATTATTGAATTTCTGGTTGTGATGGCAGATAAGAATCGGAGTCCGTCGCTCTTATTAGGCATTCCGCTTCTATCCTGTTTTGTGCTTACTGTGTGACTGGTAAGGTAGGTTAGAATGCATTGATTAGATTACTGCTCTATGCCAACGGTGCAGTGTACAAACTGAATCACCCACCAGCAAATGGGCTATGTGAAAACCGGAATCCAGTATTCGCCCATTCAACTACGATTTCCTTAACTAGTAGAAATCGATTGGTGACACCTTTAGGACTCAACTTCCTTTATTATGCTGGCGTTTAACTTTGCTTCTACAAGTTGGCATGAGGGTGCGCAGATCATCATTCGACATCCATGACATTCTTAAGATTCCTGCTCAATGAGTACAACTCAGTTGCATTGGTTCGATCTCTCCGTGTGTTCCCTCTCTGATGTCGACCCGTTTGTGTGCTTTAGTTGAAAATATTTTATATTGGGTCGCGAGTGACATTTGGTGTTGAAAAACGCATGTCTGGCACAGCTCAGCAGTTCTTATGGGATTGCAGCACTGACTGTGGTTTTTCCTCATTATCGGCCAACCTTTCCCTTCCCTAAACTATCCTTTCTGTTTGTACCGGTTGCTTCTGTGGGGTTTCCTAATACCTTGGCTTCGTGTTGTGTAGCTTGTGGAGCCTAGATTCAATATGTCGGCCGCTTTTTTATTAACCGCATCGTAATGGGTTAAGTTTTCTGGTTAGAGATGGTCACAGTAGTGGTCCGTTTAAATGGCACCTTTCCCGTTCCCGTTGCAAGGGACATAAGCGTCATGTGATTCAGCGTAATGTCCCTGTCGTTTGTCGGACATCTGTGTTCACACCTTTATAAATTGTTGTCTGCGGCTTCCGCAGCGCCCTCAGTTGTTTGCATTGTCTACCCCGGGTGTCGTTCAGAACGGCGCCTCGCAGTTCAAATTAGGTGCATGTTGCGTTGAGTACCGTCAATGAAAATCTGATTAATCGCATTGCTGTAAGCAGTCGGCGGTCAAACTGGCTGGATCGATCAGAATCGGCTTGACGGGCGCCCTCTCAAGCGTAACCGATCGAGGACTGAAATTGGCTGCATAGACTGGTTCCTTGTGAAGACGTTCGCCATCAGGTTGTGTTCTGGTTTATGCCGCTGTTACGGCTTGCTTCTCAGCGACCAGTCCCCACTATGCTATTCACTGGATGTAAAGTTCGTTCGCCGAAGTAGTCTACCAGCAGCCGCTCTCTAGAAAAATAACGGATGTGGGAAACCGGTCCAGCAAAGATAGATTCATTCCAATTTCGGAGCCCCATTGTGTTCCCCGTGGGCATCGCAATTCTGCCCTTCTGTTATGTTTCCAACCACTTCGTACTGGGTTTCATTTTATGCTGCTGATGGTTAGTATTTGTAATTCGATGACCGGAGCTGTAGCAGCGTACCCTTGGTTCATGCCTTATAGATAATAAACTGAAATAAATGCGGTTCGATTCCAACCGCGACATCTCGACTGCCTGTGTCTAAGCTTGCGCAGTCTGGCAGCTAGACATCGAACGATTATTGTTACTGGTGTTTGTGTCCAGTACGTTTTGGTTTAGTTTTTAGTTGGTTAAATGGAACAGGTTTTCTGAATATTGTAAATTGCTGAACAGCGGAATGAACCCCGAATACCCTTGGTGGGGGAAAACATTTTCACTGGGTATTCACTCTGTTACACTATTCGGTAGACGTTTTCAGGCCGCTTTGCCAACCATTGCACCGCTGTAGTTCGTTATTACTAACTGTTCACTGCCTCATCCGTTCCCAATTCTTACTGTGATATCGTTTTTTTTTATTTTTGCCGAATTGCAGTGGCACACCCCCTTGCCTTTGGAGAGGATATTCCTGGTGGAGCCTGGATACAAGTCTTCTGAGCGCCAAATTCAAACAGAACGAGAACGATATGTACTTCAGGCAATCTATTTTACTCGGGAAAGCATACCACCAAGCGCTGAAGAACCTGATTCTGAGATTGTTGAGCCAAGTGTCCCTCTGGATATCCCACTTGAAGATGTTAGTGTACATCTGAATTTTGAATCTTCGAACTTCACTTTCTTCTTGTATCTAATCTCGACTTTGTGGAGCGCAACAGCACCTGTGGTGAATCGTGCTATATACATACTGAGTACATTCACTGCAGTTTGTTGCCTTTCCGATCCGTCTTCCTCGGCCGCTACATTCTATCGCTAAATCTGGGCGGAACGCTTATTGAGCGGGATTTTTTAACCTCCCGTTCATGGTGCATTTTGCCACTGTACTTGTTATTAGTTGTCAGGCTACTGCGACCCACTGAAACGCTCCAGAATTCAGGCTGCCACTCTGGTTATCGTCAATCGCGCTCTTAGTCGATCAGTCATTTTCTCAAGCTTATAAATGCGTTGATCGGGATGTCGAACGCCTGTTACCTAGTGGTGTGAGCGATCCCGCTTCTTAGTTTGTCGGTCAACCCCAGCTCAAAGCGAGTTGATGGCCTATGTAATGCCCCATCCCATAGTTGTGAATTGTTCCGGACACGCCGACAAAAAGGTCTTATTCCCAAATTGTGCTTGAGATTCTCCTTGTCGAGACGCCATCACAGGCAAATGAGGATTATTTTGTCTCAGATGCGTACTGTGTTCCGACATATTAGCTAGAAGAATCGAATTCACGTGAAATTTTACTGCTTCACCCAGACCATCCATGATTGGGTAGTCCAGACACAGTTACTCGATCTTGGTATCGTACTTAATGCCTATGAGACCTGTGTCAATTGCATGTGTGAATCCATCTCAGGTATCAACGTATGCTTCTATGATCGACCTACTCTTTGCCCCCGCGCTACTAAAGTATCGCGGTCTTCAATGTGTTTTCTCCACCATTGGGTCCACCACCGACCGTGCCTGATGGTTGTCTTCGGTCGTCTAGTTTACTGATAGTACAAATGTCCGTATGTAATAGTCTAAAGGGCTTTGTTGAGTGGACTGTCTCAAACGCTTTGCGTCTAGGTCGAATGGGAATGGAATGGGTGACGTGCTGGCTTGCCAGCCTTCCATACGGAGCATTGCCTCATCTAGCCACTAACCTCAAGACTAGTCGATCGCCACCGAGTGTTTTGCTGTTTTTTGCCCTTGGATTTAATTTAGGGAGTTCCTTTATTAAAGATGTCATATTAGGGAGACCGGTAAATCGCGAACTTCCTACACGGGGAATGCATTCCAACGACCGTCAGTTAAATGTAACCAAGTAGAAGGAGTTCAGTGTGAACTGAGTGCAGTTCAACGTATCAGTTTTGTCACTGATTTCCTTACGGAGAATACTCCCAGATGAACGCTGGGACCCTCAGAGCATAAGCGAATCTCTATTGTGTGCCCTGCAGTACGCCTTCCGCACTACTTGAGGCGTTGGTATTTGTTGCTGAACATGTCGGAGTATGTAGCCAGTTATTTGTCACGGCCGATCTGTCGCCTATACCCCGCTAGATACAGACTTACATAAAGTGGGCGACGAAGCAGCTCGTGGTTTTGATCTTTCAGTCACTCGTTTCGGTGCTCAGACCAGAGGGGCGACAGTTCGCTGTTGGCTCCTAGGGGTATGCTCACCTCCGTTCTTAGAGGTATCTCAGATTGTGTTGGAATGACTGGGTCCTGAGAACGCTTCTTGATAGCATGATTGGTGGGGTAGCAGTTGTCTCGCTCGAACGACTTGATATTGAATTTTCATGACGTCCTGGTGAACTACACTGTCATCTTATTAGTGAGTTCATTTTTTTAAAAAGTCAACACAATTTACTGAAATAATGTCACTCCGACGTTCCGGTTGCAGTAATCTTCATGAAAGTTTGTCTGTGGCAACTGAAGTGTCGTGTTTGTGACATCTTATTCCAGTATACATTGTTTTGACTGTGTCCATAGTATGCACCGAATGGCGCTAAGGCTAAAATCTAAGCGCCGTTTGACCTGGATCTGCTAAATGTTTTTTTAACGTCACTCCTCCCTGGTCTATCTTACGGGTGGATGGTTAGATTTATTTTTGAATCGCCGTTTGGTTTCTGATTGCCGGTGGCCGTGAAATCATTCCACATTTCCAGACGGCCGACTATTCTGCGGTAAACATACAAACCCTGTATATCTGTAATCGCTAGATATGGTGCTTAGGCTTCTACGGAAGTGAACAGACCTTTTTCTGCTTGCACGACAGCTGCTGAATGTCTGCTGAGGACCTGTTTAATTGATTTACACCCAGAAGTTACCAGCAGTTGTGGGTGTGTTAGCCAGCTCAAAATATTTGACACATTGGGACTTTTTGGGGGGTCTACGCGTTCTTTTGGATCATTCGAGCTGTCACTCCGAAGCTCGTCGTGATCTGCGACTATCTTAACCTAATACAGTTTGCGATCTGAAGGAGTCAGCGATAAATAGAGCTATGCTGAACAAGTCGCATTAATCCTGACAAAAGCTTGGCCATATGCCTTGCAGAATCCAACCAATGAGTACCGGTCTAATGAAACTTCTCTCATTGGTACTCCTAACCGTGTTTCGATTTGTGGCTGAAAATTGACAAAGCGTGCTCATCACTCACGCCAATGTGTCTTCATGTTCTAGTTTTTTTAGTTTGGTAGGGTTAGTATGCGCCTTTTTCTCGACACAGCCGTTGCGCGTAAATAGCTGCACCTCACCACTCGACCGGGGTGCACCTGATGAAGGCCCCGCTTTCTTTTCCAAGCGATCATCTAGCCACATGTTATTGATCATATTCGATATTCTGTGGCCACATACCATGTTCGTTGAAATGTCGCAACGGCGGTAACGTGGGTTACCGAAATAAAACACGGTTTACAGTCACTGGTCCGTGAGTTCATCAATTTTAACAAAACGTGCATCGTTGTTTGATTTCAGAGGACGACTGATAGCTGCCAACCTCTAGAAACATTTTACCGAGATGGTGCTGTCAGACAAGAAGTTGGATGAGAGCTACTGAAAGCGGTTATTATAGAGAAGTGGTTTCACTCGTAGATCACTCCTTTACTGAATTCACATTCGCGTTTCCCTTATTCGGCACTCACCCTGGCGCATCTATTCTGGATTCTCACATCAGAAGAGAACCACTTCACTGTGGGCCTACCTTTTACTAAAGATCAGGGGCGAATAACCTCGGCTCTTTAGCAGGCTAGATCAGTGTGTTGCTATTATTCTACCAACGCACGCTGGATGCATACGAAATTGAATAAGTGAATATACTCCTCGGTTGATGATCCTGTAGTTCTGGGTTTTCATCGATCACTGGATCACTTTCTGGGCCTATAGATCGGTCACTGGTGGTTTGTCGGTCTTCAAAATCGGGATAGTCACTGGGTTGACTTTTGACTTGACAGGTGTTGGTCTATTTAGACGTGATAATTTTAATGTCAGGTGTGAGGTCTTGCAGCTGTGGTAAAACGGATTCTATTTAGTTGGTGCAACCAGCTACATCCACTACTGATGAGCCATATTAGGATGTGATCAATTTCCTTGCATGAGTGTCGTGGTTATCAAGTTGTAGCCAACTTCCGTTTGTTTCACTTGAACACCGCGAAAACCGTTGAATAAAGAAATGAATATGGATGCTGGAGCACTTGTGAAAGAGCCATTGCCGCAGTCCGCTCGTGACCCCATGGTCGGTCTTCGTTCCCCAATTCGCCATCAATTAAGCGGAGATGAACGATTTTGTTGGGTGGATGTCCTCGTTCTGCCAATGATCAAAACCTGATGACGGTTAGAGAGTACTGTTCCATTTTCACGCAACCCCCCATTCAGGTTTCCTGAAATTGGCAATTCTTTTTAGTGTGCTAATAGTGGTCACTCGCCTTTTACCTAATTCGTGATGGGAACTGCGGATACCTGCATTCTCGAGAACGATGATGAATTTCTGTCACGTGTACTTCTTCAAGTGTGGCCGCTCGCTTCGGCTAAAGTTCGGCAGATGTACCTGGACAAACTGTTTCGGGCATCTTGGCTGTTAGAGTTACGAAGACTAAATAAGAGGCCGATAGAAAACAGGCTCGCCGGGACAAGAATGATCCCATCAGTTTAGATTACTGACGTTCGCGGTCATAGTGCAGTTTCATTTTCTGAATGACGTTCAAATATTTTGGTTGTCGCTGGTGATCGTGCAACCTTACTAAACTCAACCGGACACTCAGGGGTTTGTGGCCTGTGACGGTGGCTTTACATGAACCCTTTGAAACTGCGTCTTCATTCGTAGGCGAAGTTTTGCATTGGTATGGGCTCATAGCCGTGAAAACGTGTAGAAAGTTGTGTGTGTAGACAATAAGTACCGGGTATTCGTGAAAATCCTGTGCTGTTGATGCACCTCGCCTCCCATATTGAGGCTCTCGTAATTGTCTGCATTGGAGATGATGGGCTGCTAACTGACGCGGTCTCACCTTCAGTGTATATCAATATTGATCTAGACACCTTTTCATTATCCGTAGGGGTAGGGCGTTCATTAAATTGTAGTTGAACATCGGTGAAGCACGCGAGTTCGACGTTTGTTTTGCTGTTGTGGACGTTCAGCTCGCGTTGAGCTGATCAGTTTGAAGCAGCCAGTGTCGAAGGTAATCGACATTTAATTACTCTAACTACCAGCTAGCTGCTTCTGATTCGCACTTCACCTGAGGTAATGAGATGCGTGTCTCCTAAAAAAAGGCCTTTGTCACCGGGGTTTCACGGCTTGGTTAATAACTCTAGTCCCATCGTTTTGACCACCTGGTCGCCTTTGGACACATCCGTCTTCGACTGAGTCCTGCCAAAGCGATCACCACTGCTCACGGACCAATCAGCGAGACGCCGCGCTCCGATGTGCAGCTAGCTGACCAATCGCGCGCAGCAGTGAATGTTCTGATTGGTCTGTCTTATGGCTGCTTTGGTTCGTACACGAGGATACGCAAACGCTAATGCCCACTCTGGTTTAATTATTGATGGCACCCTAATTTGTAATATTTACATTTCCTTGAATTAATTCTTCGTGCGCTGTCGGTACTCGTCCTGATCAACCGCTAGTTCCTGTGGAACATGAGTCATCTAAATTGCATTTTATGGGTTGGACTGTGACTCAGAACAGATAGAGGTTTAGAAGCTTCGTCATTTCATCAGGAATTCATCACATATTTTGTATACTGTTTTTTTTGTTTGTACAGTGTCGGTTTCACTCCTTTCTCAGCCTTTCCCTCTATCATATACCTTTTCTTCCCTGCAGCTGACAATTTCGGATCCAGGTTCCGCCGCAGACCCACTGCTTGTGGTCAAGGATGCCATGGGTAGCACTCAAGTATGTGTTGTAGGCACTGTACTTTTTATGGTGTGATGATTCATCATAACTAGACTTCGCTAATAATGTAGGAGTTCATACAGTCGTCTAGTCGAAACTTTATATGGACGGCCTTTCACGTATGTGTGATGATATATTCTGTAGCTTGTGCATCGTTTACACGTCACTGTCTACGTTTGTATCGTTATGTTTGGCGTCAAGCGAGGTGTTGATTTCACGCATAACATCCTTGTGGTCTACTTAGCTTCCAGTTTGTCTGTCCTTTTTCGCTCATGCTTTGCACTTTTTGGGTAGTTTATTGAGATAAGATTACTCAGGTTTGTTAGTTGTCCACCAAACCAAACTTGTGCGTGGGCCAGCCTGGTTGTGCTATGGGTTAGTCCATCGTGTTTGCTTCAGCGAGGTGGCTTCTTTTCTTTGAGTAACTGCACTTTTGAGGATCCTCCAGGTTAACCGTTTCCGTGATCCAGCGGGGAGGTTATCCGAACCCTTATGACTTTCACATGTTCTTACTGGCTGTCGCAAATTGAATCAATTCTGTGCAGGGTTAGATACGCTTGAACAAGCGTGAGCTAGGTTATCTTAATAATTACAGTGTATGGTGTGCATAACACTCAACTCTAACGTCCGAGTGCTGTCACACTGACCGTTGCAGCTGAACTTAGTATAAATTCATCTAGTTAGGCAAAAAACTAGCAGTGTACTGGTTAGCAAAACTGAATCTGCTGAGTTGTTTGGGCATCGGCGAAAATGTCCGTCCAATATCCGTTAATATCTACCCAAAAATTGACTTTGATTTCCTAAAAATTACGAATGGCGTAAATATGACCAGTCCACTCATGCCTAACTTGAATCACTCGAGATGAAAGGATTTGGACTCGAACGCACCGGAACTACCAGTCAGATTGTTGTTTCATATATTACTATCAACGGCGGGTAACGCTCTGTTTGTGAAATGGCTGGGATCTGCCGAATATACTTCTCTGTATCAGAAAAAAGTCAATCTCATTAGGAGCATTACGGTCAAGCCTGACTGCTTGCTTGAGCAGGAGCCCTCCGCAGGGAGTGGATAAGGTGCTATGTTTCGGATCAGCAAGTTAGCAGTTCTACAACAAAATACAAATTTAGCTAATTCTTAACATAACCAACACAAATGTATGGTACGACGACCGGGGTCTGGTTAATACTGTGTTGTTAGAGCATAACGATCTCGAACATGGCACTCGAAACCAAGGTTTATGAAACCCTTTGCAGGCTTCCGTTCAGATGACGGATTCAACCAAGAATTGCTTTTCGATCTCCCGATCTCCTTAAAGAAATGAGTCGGCAACCATCAATCGTAGTTTGCTGCTAACTTTTGGCGTGACAAGTGTGTCGTGACACGAGAAGCCGGTCAGTCAAGTGGGGTTTGTCAAGCCCCTGGAAGTCATTGCATGGTAGCAGCACTTCGCATCGACAAGTTTCTTAAAAGGTTGGTTGCCTTGCGAAGAAACTACGTTGAAACGGAGATAGACTAGCCTATTCGTCCGGTGTGTTTTAGGCGGTCAGTGCGTTGTTATTCTGCAATTGTTCTCAAAACTTTTGGTCCGCTTCGTTGTGTCCGAACCACTTCTGAGAATCTGAGGCCAAGTTTTATGCCTTCTAGCCTTCCCAATTCCTACTGTTGATTGATCATTTCTGCCATGATCGACAACACAGACACGAGCCAAAACGAGCGAGGCTCTATCGATTTGTCTATTCCTCTAACATGACTCCCTTTCGGACTTTCTGACTGTATCATATTGCTGATCCAGAGCTTCCACTGCTAACTCACCCCACCAGTTGCAGTACTCTTTTCGTTCAATAACACCACAATTTCCAGGGTTGTATTTGTTTATTTTGCTGTTAGAATCATTCTTCGTCATCGTTGATGGTAATGCACCAGTAACATGTACCGGTGCTTAACTATCATACAACCATGACAGAAAAAGCCCCAGTTAAGAGTGGAAGGAAAGGTAACGGTAAAGAGTTATTGCAAAGTTGGCTTATGTTCTTAAAAAAGACGCTCAAGGCTAGGATGCCTATATATTTGGACAGCATAAAAATAACACACCTGAGTATCGAATTGAGGCACCATTAGCGAGATTGACCCAGAGTCTTTTGCGAACCCCATCCGATAGAAGACCGACGCACAGTCTAGGAAGATGGCAACATGTGCGCCACTAAGGTTGGTCGTTTGCCTTGTCCTGTAAGCAGGGTCACTTGGCCTCCGAGCAGGAAGGCGCGAAGATCCCATCGCACTCCATGTGACGGTAGTCGTTTCCATCCCACTCTACTACACCATAGCCTATCCTGCACGAACCTTATATCACCGATCACTGGGAACAGAAGACAACGTTTCTTTTTGGTAGATAGTGGTTGGTATATGTGAAACATGCCCCAACCACTTCAACCTGGCAAGTCTAATCTGATGCACCTAAAGAATCGGATTGGTTACCAAGTACTCGCTTACGCGCCATCTTACTAAATACTCGCTGCAGCCAGCTATCACTTGCTGTGCTATGAGGACACCAGTGATCAAGCTTTTGAAGACTAAGTCCCTCTAATCAGATGGGCAGTCTCAAGATCAAGACCGCTCTTACAGTTAACTGGCATACACGACCTTTTGACTCCAGTCAAGTTCGGTTCTGATGCCACAAATTCAGTAGGCTGGCGAACGCTGCTCTCACATTGATTATTCGCGCTTTCATTTTATCCAGCGACGGTCTACGCAGCTTCCAAGATACCTGAACCGATCAACAACCTGAAATTTCAGAGAAACACTAGAAGATGGGAAATCGTAAGGTAAAACTTTACACTTTGCAGGTTCAGAACTCATGCCGGAACATGGGAATTCCTCCGATACTCCGGTGAAAGTACTTTACACGGACAAATGATCGTCAAACAGCAAAACCGCGTCGTCCGCCAAGTCCATGAAGCTCTCTTCAGACGTGATTTCGATACCTAGGTTTACGGTCCCTCGGAATGTGAACTCCATGGTAACGTTAATATCAAATTCGATCAAAAAAGAGGAAAGGGATAACGCTGACAAATTCCATTTTTTGTGAGGAAGTTCCTGGACTGCTCATTGTATACCCTAACCCCATCGGCAATGCGGGTTTACGAACTCCAAGGGCATTGCCCTCTGATCAATAATATTCAAGTTTGCCTAGCTATCCACCTATTTGAAAGCCCCTTTAAGATGATAAGACCGCGATCGTTGGTCGGTAGTATACATACCGCCGCTCAAGTAATTGACGTAATGTTGAGATGTGGTCATTACACCCTCTGTCAGGCAAAATCCTACTTGACGTTCTCGAACATGTATCGCACGGGAGAAGCCAGTAGCCGCGTTAGGACAGGCGTGAGAATTCCTCTATGCCTAGAACAGTCGGTTACGGCTCCCTGTTTGAACACGGGTATAACCCAGTCAAACCGAAGCAATAAGATTCACCATCTACGAATAAAGCTGGAAAAACTTCATCTGATCCAGCAGCTCACTGACGCAGAAAGACATTACTACTTATCCATTCTGGAGGGGTATAAGCTCACGAACGGGTCGAATGAAAGACAGGCTTAATGGCAGAGAGCCAACTAAATTATTGGTGTGTTTTTCTAACCTGTGGCTTACAAAGCTTTTCTCATGCTAAATAATTATCTCGTTCCTTGGCTTTCCCGGATCAATTTAATGAAAATCCTCTCCTAAGGAGTACGTAGTCTGAATCATCCTGTGTACTCTAAAATGGTGGTGTTTTCAGTTTAACTCCAAAGTTGCTGAGCATTAGGAAAAGACCGGTTAGCACAACGGTGGCCGCTACGTCCAAGCCCAGGACTGCTGACAAAAGCTTGGGAGCAGCACATGATTGCAAAGTTGCTTTTCGCGTTCCGACCATACCACCAGTGCAAGTTGTGACATCCCAACTATCCGTTGCAACCTTTGCTTTTATGACCAAGTCCGAACTCTTCGTGGTGCCGTACAACAGGGTGGTCAGTTCTCAATAGAAGGCATCTTTCAATGAGTGAGAGCTATGGTTCCTTCGTGCACAGATGGACACGACAACAAAGTGCGTTTGGTGTCTAGACCAGTTCGAAATGAAAAGTCGGAATCAGTTGTTTACCGATATCTAGCCTCAGCTGACTAACGGCACAACACTCTGAGACAGCTGAGGGATCACCCAAAGTTGGTAACCTGTGTCGTCTATACAGAGAGTGTCGTAAGTTTCACAACTATGCTGGGTTCCTGTTTTCCAATTTCAGAGATAAAACAGGTGTCAACCGGCAGACTATCTTGAGCACGTGCAAGATCACCTTGCTGACCGATCTGCTTGAAGGTTGTAATCGAAAACAAGAGGATGGGGGGCCTGAATAGCTTCGCGGAGCGGCAGCTGCCAGCGGTGGCGTGCAGTGTGCCAATTCCATAGGTGCCTGACCGAAGTGCCTACAGCTGGAATCTACATGGGAGTGACTGTCTAGTGGACCAGGAACACAATTGAAAGATAACAATGAATAAAATGGAAGGTCTCGGCAGTCGCATGTCTTCTCATATCCACCAGGTTGATGTCACCACACGATGGCCAATGTAGTATGAAGATGCTTTCTATTCATCAAGTTCATGGTTTTATGTGATCCAAGATACTGTTAGGGTGTCCCGACCTAGACAGATGGGCGATTAGGGTCCTCAGTCAAAGCTTTGGCTCAAAATCCTGGCCACCAGACAGCTATGGTCAGTGTCAGACTACTCGAGTAGCCAAACTACCGTAATACCTCTCTGGACTGGGACGAACACCTACTGACTTTTTTCGCCGATCTCATAACACAGTTCTGAGTTAGATTGTTTATCCGTAAGGGTCAGATAATATACGGATAGACAACAACCATCGGTAACGTCCATCAGTGCAGTGTGTAAATTTTTCCGTTGTGTGGCCAAATTTGGAATGTTGACAACCAAGAGATACTGGGATATACAGTTGTGTCAGAAGAGGTCATTGGTGGGATTAATTTTTCCGCCTTGAATTATCTATATGGGTCTATGTCCTAACTCGGAAAGTTGCGTTTGTGCATGGTGTCCCACACTCTTGAAATTGAAAAATCGTTAGGCTGTAGCAACATTTCGGCGCCTATCTCCGTGCCAACGGAAGGAGGCACGAGGGCTGGGATACTGTCAAGTTGCCCAACCCTAGACAGTTGAGATGCTGAGTTTGGTTTCGAACCAAGGACCTACCGGTTCGACACGTTATGAAGCATGAGTTTGCACTTTGAAGGTGCAAGGTACATACGAAAACATGGGGCGAGATTGCCCAAGTGGTTAGAGCGCAAATTTACTGACCGGAGGGTCCGTGGTTCGAATCCGACCTCCGCTACTCGACTTCCCCTGTCTAGGCTTGGGCAACCTGGCAGTATCCCAGCCCTCTTGCTTCCTTCGGGTGGCATGGCAGCTAAGCACCGGAAGGGTGCTACAGCTGAACGCCTAAAAAAAATACCAAAACATGGTATGATGGTGGTAAGTCTATCCAACAGGGCTTGCGCTTCACTTTGGTCTTCAAAAATGAGGGCAACGTCATCTGCGTACTCCAGAACGACAAGGCCCTCACCAGCAGCAATTTGAACACCGGGGTTTTGAAGACCGTCAAGCGTTCGCCTCATTATTTCACCAATGATGAAGTTGAACGAGAATGGAGAGTAGGCATTGTTGTTGGACACCACTTTTTGTAGGGAAGCTTTTGGAGAGCTCAGGTACTACCACGTTGCAACTAGCTAATTTCCACTATGCAACGAAGGCATCGGTGATCAAATATCTGGCGACGATTGAGGTCATGTCAAATGATAACAGTTCCACATAGTAGGCCTTCCCCTAAGTTGCCTGATATGTACAGCCTCTCCACTTCAGTGATATTCGATAAGGTAAACGAAGCAGGTTGCCAAATGTCGCTTGGGTTTTCCTAACGCATACATTGAACTCCACCTGTCGCAATACAGTGGCAGTTACCAACATCAATAGCCTCAAGCTCTTCCTTCTACAGTTTTAAACCAGTTCACGGGGATTAAAAACCAATGACCGAGACTTTTTATCTCGAAGGGAATGTTTCCGACAACCAATTTAGAATGGATCGTGCGAACCGCATGGTTGTCCGCATAATCCAATTCCACTAATCTCTATCGTCGAGGTGCATTCTCCAACGCACCTCAACTTTCCGTTTCTTAAAGACAATCTTAAAACAGTTCCTTCTAACCTGTAAGACGATCAGAGGTGTTAGAATAAGGGACAAGAAATATACTACCAAGCGTTGAGAGTATTGCTCTTTATCCAAGTACATTTAGAAGTTCTGTTCCGTAATTGTTGGTCGGAGGTATACCTAACGATACTCAAGTATTTAGCATTATGTGAGTGGTCGAAATTCTGGTTGCTGCTTTCGAATTCGAATCTCACATGCCGTCGCAACATCATGGAAAATAGCCGCCGTGTTATGGCAGGTGCGAGGCTGGTTGGAATAGTCCTTTTGGATATCTTCCTGAATGAAGGTATGATGGTCGTTCGTTTGCATTCATCTAGAAGCCGTTGTTTCCCCCTAAATTCATACTAGTTAACCGAAGCAGCACTCGGAGATTGAACACCGTGGCTTCTACTACCAGACAACAACTCACGTTGAGAAATGTTTATCCGTTTTCTACATACACTGTCCTTGTTTCTCAAGTCACTGCGGTTGACCAACTGCCCCCAAAGTGCAATTGCGTCCTTATATTTTCCTCCATGTTTTGCATACATAGTTTGTAGCTGGTGATCATCCACGTCCCATTCTTCAAGGATTTCTCACGCCCCACCCTGCGTCGAAAAGAATCTATTTATCTTACAATGTTTCGTAGTGCTCTGATTATTTTCACTCATTATTCTTTACCCGTCTTTCTTTTGTCCTTCGCACAGATGTCTCTAAATCCAGAAGTAGCTGATTTAGTCAAATCTCTTGCTGCCAATTTGTCGGCTACACCGTCTGTGATTACGGCCTCATCTAGTGTGACCCCAGAAAACTCACAACCTGTGTTTACACCCAAACCGATAGATTCGACGGTACCCTGGAACGAGCCAAACCATGTTACTGAATCCGGGACTGCTTCCGATCAGAGTTTGCAGCGTGAACTATGGGATGTGCTAGAGGAAAACTACCCGGATCTGAACGTCCGCGAATTGAGTGCAGATCGTATTCGCGACTTGCTGGAACCCCTTCGGGACCAGCTTGTTGCTCGAGGCATTTTCCAGCTACCATATGCGGAAAAGTACCCCGTTTCGTTTCCGCCACCGCAGCTCTCACCTCCACGACCGCATTCTTCATACGGCATGCGGCCAGGTTATCCCGGCCATCGACCTCCTCAGTTGATGTCTCTATTTCCACGACCAGACTTTTTGCCAGCTCATCCCCGCCCTGGTCCGCCACCCGGCGGGTTCCGTCCTGTGCCACCCCCAGTGCAGAATCGACCCCCACCCTTCCTCTCCGGTGGTCCCCCGCCCCACTATTCCCGTGCTCCTGGACCGATGCATGGTGGATCCCAGCCTCCCCACCGTCCCGCACCCTATTCCAGGGGTGGGGGACGAGGTAGCCAACTTTGTAAATTTTTCCAACAGGGTAGTTGTCGCAATGGTTCCGCGTGTCCTTTTCTACATACCAAACGATGATAGTTTTTTTTATCTCGTTACCATTTGGTGACTTGTGTTTACCTCCTTGTACAGTTTTGACTTCCTCATCATTCGCTTACGTCGCAACTTACCCGCGACCCATTTGTATATATACTGTTCATCCCAGAAGAACATGATAAGTCCTATTTAAAACGGAAATTTCTCTGTTTAACAAAACAACAGTGGCTGAGGTAGAGTAAATAATCAACCCAACTGCCAGCACCAGTTGTGTACTCAAATATAGAATTGGAATTCTTTATCCGGGTTCATATATCGCAGAGGTTGATTTCCAATGTAACGCAGAAGTTTATTTTTGGTCTGCTCACTCAACGGTTTGAGTAGAACCTGGAATCGTGTCAGTAGTTGAGTAACACTCACCTTTCGGATTCCAATTGCCCGCATTCTATCCACTTCTAATTCCAACAATCGTTTATCTAAGTATGGACCCAGTTACAACCGCCACTGACTTACAGACCAAGTGGGCTTCCACTCTTTTTTCTACAGCAAAGAATGCTATCCTTCCTATATGTGGTTCTGTTTGTTGTCCGATTATCAAACCAATTGGAATATGAGTATCCGTGAATGCCTTTGGGGTAAGAGGAGAAATGAATTAGTTTGAGGTGTGCGTTTTCGTCTATCAGATGTCAGTGATTATTGCAATGACGTTCCACCTTGTGGCACTGTATACCATGCTACCGTTAGTTCTGTCGCCCCAAAAGAACCTTTCAGACAGCTGTCTTCCGATGGGGAACTATTTTGTCGTTCACCGGTAGCACCCATTGGGTGCCTAACTGCCATGCAACCCAAAGGAAGAACGAGGGCTGGGATACTGCAAGGTTGCCCAAGCCTAGACAGGGGAATTGGAGAGGCAGAGGTTGGGTTCAAACCACGGACCTTCCGGTCAGTAAACTCGCGCTCTTACCACTTGGGCTATCATTTGTCCTTCTTTAAGGAACTATGCCACCCCGCGAAGAGGAATGGCCTAACTGGGACTTATCACTACAGTCGTGCACGTATATTTATGAAAGCTCTGTTCCATGGCATTCTGATTCCAAATTGTATGTTTTATTCGTTTTCTACTTATCTTCTGAACTGTTGCTTTCAGTGAAATGCTCTTCCCCAACAGACCTTGTGAAGTTAACTTCCCGTTGCTGCAGTAAAACACAGATGAAGAGGAACCAGGTTCGACAGATACACCCGTCTCCATACATATTTGGTTTTCACGGCGAGACTCACTTGCAACCTGGTTGAATCTTTTGTTTATGATGTTCCCTCTTAGTAGGTGGTGTGCCTTAATGCGGAAGTTTTGTGGATACATACCCCACGGTTCGGTCAAAGTCTACTTTGTGCGATAAAAGACAGGGGTATGTATGAGATATTCATTTGATTCTTGGAACGGACGGCTGTACATACACTGAGGACCTACATTACGTTCAACATCACGTTCCTACCACCATTCATTGCATGTAAACGTATATCTCTCGCGGATATGATAACCTCAAAAGTTGTTTGAGCCGCTAGGAGATCGCTAGACAGACCATTTTCCACCCTCCGCGTCACATAAATACATCATACTAAGAAGCTACAAAGGTATGACACACTTTGTCCCACCGGATGTATCGGCTCTGTTTCTAGTCAATACAAAGATTTTTCACTTGGCTAGTGTTTGCATCCAGTGACGATGAGTTCTTTCCAGTTCAACATTCTTGAGTTGCCCTGATCTAAACAACTTGTATATTCACATCCTATTAGTAGCTTCTGTGCATTTATTGGTAGTTGACCACGTGGTTCTTTATCTATTCTTCGAGCTTGGCTGTTCACTGCAAACGTTATGTTACGTTACATTTGAGGAGATATCTTTCAATAGTCCCTTTCTTCACACTTGCACTCATATAGTTTACAGAGAAAATCTTCAATCTCTAACGTGATTGACTGTTCACAGCTAATCTTACCCAAAGTCCGACTGTACATCCCCATCTTAATTGGTCCGGTTGTGGCTTGCGTTGGTCCGCGGTCTTTATCTCTGTTGTTTGATTGGCTGATTTTTTCCCTTTCATTTGTTGTAGTTTACTCATCTCGAGAGTCGTTTGGGAGTCCTATGACTGCAGCAGTTCAGCAGCTGGTGTCTTGATGGAATAGAGGCCAACAGATGTAAACAGTGAGCTCACATCCAATAGAACATGATTTCATCCTCTTCTGTCGTCAAGTCTTTCTATTTGTCCAAAACTTGTGGGCTGTTGACTGAGTGCCACGATTCACTGCTGAAATATCTTAACTTTAGTGAATAGCTCTCAAAAGGTTGTAGACTGGTGTACCTGTAAGAATGAAGCCCTTCTGGAGTGTTTCCAAAACCGCATAAAGGGTAGAGACATCCATGTGGTCAAAATACGCCATTCATCGAAACTGTTTCACTTTCCACACTGGATATCTCATTCCTTTTCTAAGCCTGATATTTATGAACTGGAATGCTTTCCAATGCAAACCATTGTTCCATTAGACGTTTGGATTTGCTGTTGGATGAACGTGGTGTGGTAGGGTCGCGCGTTAAACCATATCTGATGGAGATTACTGTCATGTACTCTTGACAAAGGAAGACTCTCTTGAGAGGGATTCCCATTGGGTGCGGTAGCTGAGACAGTCTTTGAACTGATATTTATCCAATACCAGTGTTCAACTTTACATGCCATGCCAACTTCCCCTAAGATGGCATCGTTGGCCAGCAGTGAACCGGTAGTTATCAACATATCTGTTTGATTTCACAGTTTTTGAAGCATCTGCCCGGTCATTTATTCCATAGTAGAACGTTGCCAGTACCCAACCGTTGTGGTTGTCCGACGATTAGTGTACCTCAATCACCCATAGACTCACTCACTCAACAGACTCTGCGACCGCATTGGTCAATGGATAAGGGGTCGACACATCAGTGTTCTGATCTCCCAGATTTGTGTTCAGGACAGCTGTGAGGACATGTTCCTTATTAATCTACAACTGAGGTTGCCTTATATCAACCGACGCTTCCTTCCAATCAGGCTTTTTAACCAACGCCTTTGGTTGATTAACGTCCAGGTCTGCGAGCCCTAACTGCTTTTCAGACTACTCGCAACTACTCACAACTCATCCAACGATAGTTTTGTGAACCACTGCTTGATACAGTCAGCCGGTTCACCTTCCTACATGCAGCGGTGCACGTAAATGATGTTGCCGTTGAGGCCTTTTTTTTCTTGCACTTCAAATTACATCGCTTCCCCCCCCCATTCTTGACGATATTTTGCAGCAGTAAGGACCATGAAGATCTGCTACAGCTCACAACCTGTCCCAAAAAATTCTGGGATAGTTGAAATCGCTTATTCGTATAACGAGACACCCTGCTACAAAACTCGATCTCATACCCCTCAGCTATCACTAACGTGAATTAGTTCCAAATCATCATTTGTTACAGAACCTCCATGTTGCTCCTGATCACGCCCATGTAAGATGGCGTCTCTGTTTGTGTCTGTTCGGATCGCGAGAAATTCCCGCATCACCTTTAGCCACAGGGAAACCGGCCGACATTGAAATTGTTACATGAAAAAACATGGTTTCGAGATATACACTTATTTGCAAATTAATTTGCCCTTCAGGAGAGACTCAACTAAAACTCTTTTATGATATCCTACAACTGAATGTGCCGCATACAGGCCACCTCATGTGCAGCGGTAGAATAGCATAAACGAGAGGTTCAGTTGAGTCACTCATGAAAACCAAATAGATTTGCAAATGAGTGTAGTTCTCGAAAACAATCCAATTCGGGTTCAAGTAAAACGTAAGGTTGACGGAAACTCGGGGACTGCGCCTACCTGATTAGCCCCCCGAAGGGCGAAACCGGTCGTGGGCTGTCGAAGAGTTTTCAGCAACCTTGTGAGTAGTTTCCTTTAAGAAAAACCTGGTTGCGAGAACCTCGTGCAGTTTCACTAAACACTCGTAACCATCAGTGTATCCCGATTAAGACTGTGGGCGAATTAGAGCCTAGAAAGCAATTCCTGCTCGGCCTGGACGCATCCAGTAAACCGTTCCATGATACCTAAGCAATACAGGTGCATCACGAGAGAGGCACATTTTATCAAGCGAAGCAAAGGTACGGGATCAGGCATGGCCAGCAGCCATATCCCAACAGGGGGACAGAACACAGAGCACTCACATTACAGGAGTCAGCCAGTGAAGTCACTTTCTATACGCCCCAGTAGAGCAATGGTGGCACAATCAAATCACCACTTGAACCCGCCTATCTAGTCCACTCAACAACGGTTGAACTTGTAACTGTGGTAAGTCTACTTTGTTCATTTCGTGGGTAGACGAATATTCATCCAGGCTACCCACTTTCGCTTTTTTCTACAGGACAGCCGTAATTTCTAGTTTCATCCTCCATTTAATTGCAACCGTTTGTGGTAATCTTTTTGAATGGGGAGCCAAAGTCAATTTTTCATCATCATCATCGACAACTGAACCTAAGTAATCAGCACTTTTAATTTAAAAGATGTGTAAAAGCTTCCTTTTATGCCCCGTTGAATCTTACTTGATGTATCGACTTTGTGCCTAAAGGGATAATTTTGCTAACTAACTTTAATCTTTAACCCTAAACACTTGAATTGCAGGTCTACTACCGGGGGTGGGAGGAGGTAGACTTCGTGCTTTTTATTGTACGAACTATCATAATACACCTTTCATTCATCTCTAGAGACACCTCATCCATCCTAACCCTCTCCTGTCGAATTACAATCTGGGTCAAAACGCACTGTGCATTGTCCTTTCTGATACTTGGTACAACTTACCCATTCACCTCGTTACGTTTCACATATCACTCTACGCACAATTTCCGAATCCCGCATTCAACTTACTATGATGCACAATTCGGGCCAGTTTTGAGCGAAATATCGCACCGTCACGTTGGGATATTCGGAGCAAAAATTCCGCCCGACAAATCGTCGAATAATGTCCAAATCTACCTCTGATTGATAGTTTCGGAAGTACTGTTGACGCTCGTAGTCGTGACAGACAAGCGCTCCTGCTTGGGTCTCAATGAATCTGGTGTGGCGCTCTATATCAGGCACAAAACCCGGATCCGAAGGATGAATTGTCTCACAAACCATGGTGTCTTCCATGCTACCACAAGTAGTTATAGTCTTACCAAGAGTGCTGTATCTATCTATCACTCGATCGAACTGAGTTATTGATTTTGAATTGGAGTGGCTGGTCACATGATGCTCATCCACTCTGAAGGTCTGACGGGCTGTAGCAGTCGTCCAATCACTGTCCTTATATGGGCAAGGAAACCTCATTAGAAATATTGGACCCGAAAACAATGTCACACTGTAGTAGAGTTTCAAAATTTACCTCCAGATGAAGAGGTTTATCTTTGAAAGAAGAAATAAAGTTTTCTGTGGAGAGACAGAGTAGTAGACATCAGACGAAAGGAATTTTCGCACGAGGTATAAAAGTACCACAAACGGGGCCGATTCGTATTGCTGCAGTTCAGATTTCGGGTCCCGAACTTATCATAAGCTCAAGTCATATGTCGTTATTCCGTTACCTAACCATTCACTTCTGTCACATGGTTGCACATGAATGTAACCAATTCATCTCACACCAGATAACTTGATGACAACTCGAGGATGAGGCGAACCTGGTATTGTACTGTCAGCAGTTTTCTTGACCTTATTTCTTTTCGAATGGACTGCCTGTGCGGTCAAAAGAGTACGCCCATCAGATCAAAGGACACAAACTTAAGTGGCATATCTTCAGAACCTTAATTCGCACTTTGACAAGTGGAATGGATGGATAGGAATAATTTACTTTACAACTTACTTTACTTCACTTTACAACATAAGGTTGACGGAAACTCGGGGACTGCGCCTATCTGATGAGCCCCAAGAAAGGCAAAACCGGTCGTGAGCTGTCGAGGAGTTTTCAGCAACCTTACGAGTAGTGCTTTGCAAGAATAATTTACTTCCTTCACATTGAAAAGAGACCCAAACTGCGTTCACAACTGGATGGAGACAAGACAGATGTTTATGTAACCAGTGGTAGTTCTGCGGGTTTTCCTTAAATTAACCTAGCAAGTGGCCGGCAATTTAACGTTCGTGTGTCAGCATTGCCTACGGAACATCTGATCCAGTGCTAACATTAAGGTCTCATACTGTTGAAACTCAGATGAGCATTCTGGCTACCGCGGTAAACCAGATAATGGCTGAGGTGACATGTGTCCCCATACGAGTAAACAGCGTGGTACATCATGTCAGTGTTCTGGAGCATGCGTTTCACCGTGTCATACACAGGTGGCCCGACTGGTCACGAGACGTGAACTCAAATGACACTGAACAACATACAAGGTTAAAAAATTGAGTGTATGTGACTTCTGTCTACATGACGGAAATATTCTTCGTTTCTTATCACTTGCACCTGGCCTAGAACGTATCCGTTTCAAACACTTTCCTGAAGTAAATCAGCTTCAATTGAAGCGACTCATTCTAGACGTTTAAGCGACGCCAGTTTGCTGTCTATTTTCAATGATCCCAAGCTACAAAATCCAAACAATCGGGCAAGGTTTGGGAAGAAACCTACATTTCGTCAAACCCACCTTTGAAGATGATCTATTGGATCTTCTGCTCCAAGCAGCGTGCTCGCAATTGTCAGTTTTAGCTGCGGATTAGGAGACAAAACGTGGTTAGCATTTTTCAGAGTAAAATTGACAGGACGGGATGTGCAGTGTACGATGCCTATATTGTGCTGCCTACCGCCTGGATCTTTGTTGTCTTGTATCACGAGGAGACCACCAGCCATTGACAAGAACAGATCACCTGGCAACTATCTACAGATGGCGGTGGGGGCCTGAGGCTTTCGCTCGACCTGGGTTCGAACCACACTGTTGCTAACGCTTGAGTTCGCTTCCAGTTGCTTTTTATCACAGGCTCACTACGCCATAAAACACCCAACCAATGATCTTGTTACAACATCAACCGTCAGACGTTGGGGGTAACTGAAAATAACTGCAAGTCGATGCCGGCCATTTTGTGGAGAAACGAGTTAAGCCTTGAAGGTGCGATTCGGACAGTACTTTTGATAGGTTACCACCACCATCAGGCTTACTGGTGTCTGATATGTATGGACAGTTATCACGGTGTAGAAGTCAGTATGATTTCACTTGCAAGATCATCTGTTCCGTGAAGGTAAATCGAACTACACAACTTCTGTTTCATCTCTGGAAATATCCCCTAAGATATCTGAAAGGTAACGCCATGCGGTGACAGATCGTTTGCCGCGCTTACATTCTGTGCTTGTTCAGTATGACGTACTGATGCTGAAGTGCTCCCGTAGTGAAAAGAGTGCTATCAGTAAAACCGATTGACTTCCTGGTACCCAACCGCCTACAGTAAATCCACATGGCAATAAGTTGAGTTGATCTATTGTGCATTATTTCGGAAGAAGATAGGCAAATTATCGCTCTCTTATAATCTTAACTTATTTGACAGGCTGCACAGGGCCAGGAATCTCGCGAAGGAACTCTATGATTTTTAAGACAAACCTTATTTACACCAGATGACATAGGATGCCTTCAAGATGTCGAGGTGAGTTGCTGCAGCCCTTTTGTCATAGTGCTTATGCCGATCAGATTTGCAGTTGGTGCTACTTAAATGCATTTCAACGGTTACCGACATGTCATGGGGAAAATAGGCGTTTTCATAAAAAGTTCACTAGAATGGCCTTGCCTACCCCATACTTGATATGGATAGTTTTAGCACCGCTTCATTGATAACGATCAGTGGGTTCAAACGGATGCCTTGTTAATCAATAAAAACCTCCCCGCATGCACTACGAAAATGGGTGCGTTCGACTGCGTCAGGTCACTGGTTATAAACTGGCTGAACGATTCCAGATTGAAAGAAATCCCATGGTTTTTTGCGTTAAAGGCAAATCCTAGTTTGAAAACACCCGGTGTACTGTGGTTGGTTTGATGCTAAATCAATACATTCACTACTGATACTGACCCAAGAAAAAGATATCCGATCACAAACATGCAGGGATCTCATGCTAGCTTGCGGTCTTTCTAAACATTCATTCGAAGGCTTGACGACCTGTACGGAGGCCAGTCGTCCCTAATAACTGAACACCACATCATTTGGACGGATGTGTCACGTGCAGGACACGGGCCAAACGAAGGCATGCTCTGATTGGTCAGAATGCCAGCCAATCCGATTCAAGCACCTGTGACTCGACGCTTCTCGCTCCCTCACGGAGATTCTGGCAAGACCTTGTGGAACACTCTGTGACTACCCTATAAATACTGTTGTACTAATTTTCATTTGTCTCCATAAGGGGCTGTGTAAAGTTACCGTGCCTTTTGATATACCGTAGTGGAAAAAAATCGTTCAGCTGTAGCACCCTTTCGGTGCCTAGCTGCCATGCCACCCGGAGGAAGCACGAGGGCTGGGATACTGCCAGGTCGCCCAGGCCTAGACAGGGGAAGTCGAGTGGCAGAGGCCGGGCTCGAACCACGGACCTTTCGGTCAGTAAATTCGCGCTCTAATCACTTGGACCGTCTCGCCCCACTCACGCCCACTACCGTAGTGGGGGGAGCAGGAGGCCAAGAGACCGATACACAGTTGCACGACTGTCCACCAAGTCACAACACGACCTCTGTTTACCCCTCAGTGGATAGAGAGAACAGATGCATGTTCTAAATCTTCCCGCTTCCAGTTCAAAACGGACTCGAAATAGATCAGCTGTAAAGGCGCGAACCTTCCGATCGGAAGGTCTGTGATTCGAACCCAACCACGGTATCATGTTTGCTCCTGTTTATTGGCTTGAGTCTGTGTGTCCAGCTTGACAGTTGACTTACAGACATCTTGCCGCCATTCCGTGAGGCATCATCAGTGCCCAGTTGGGTACGAAATTCATCTTTCCGTGTATGAATTTGGAAGAAAACCTGATTGGACATTGATGACCATCTTGAAGTCCGACTGGTCAGCTCGTGATTTGTGTTGCATTGTAGTCTGCATCTCTTGCGTTCGCTTACTCCGCTACATACTATCCTTGCTTTCCATTATCCCCTGTTCTGGTTGGTCCATCTTCTTTCTATCTAATTGGTTGATGGCTTGGATAACATAACCGAAGAGGTTTCTCTCGATGGCATGCAATCTTTGCACCCAGTTGAACACCCGTGATGACGACTAAACCCAAAACGAGATCATAGTGAAAGGGAGAACGTACGCAGCCGATACAAGGGGTTTTTCGCGGAATCACTCCAAACTTTCGTGCAGCTACCTTAGACTGTCCTACGTAGGTCTATCAACCAAGTCACTGTTGGATGAACTCCTGGGTTCGAAATTTGTACGGAATTGAATTGAGGTTATGCTATTCATTCATTCAGGAGCACCCCTTGGCAAGAACTATGCTCCTACTGTCTTGTAACAAGTAATGAGGCAGAACAATATCCGCAGTTGACAGAAAAAATCATCCAGAAACCTGCTTCGGAAACAGGGGTAATGAGTGAAGAGTATGACTCTGTAAAAAGCGTGAATTAGAGCAACTTCAAATCATCACACTCTTCAGAAAAAGGGAGCCTTCCAAGGGCGGATAAATTTGAACAATTTTGTTGAAAAGTAGCGTTAATGCATATGCCATCCCACAATTGGCTTTAGCTTGACGGATTGCTGAAAAATTTTTGATCACCCACGACCGGTTTCATCTTTGTCGGGATTGATCGAGTAAGCGCACCCCCCAGGCCTCCATCAACCCTATGTTCCGTCTGGACACAAACTGACTGGACACAAACGTGAATTCGTACTAACTGAAACATGACGCGGCAGCTGACGGGGTAATGATTGGAAAGCAGCAAGTTTTTACCCCGCGGCGAAACGCGCACAGGATATAGATGTGATGAGTGAATGCGTCACTGCATGCGGGATTCTATTTCACAGCTTCTGTGACGTGCAATGGTTTTGCGCAAACCTTATGGCAGCCAGTATAGCACCTTGGGGATTTCTAATGACGATCAGGCTTGCCTGCTTTTTCCGTTAGATGCTAGCCAACCACTCGATCGTACTACAGCCCTTGACCATGCACAAGAGGTAGATATAACAGGCTGTGTGCACAATCTCGACAGCTTATGATCAGACATGGGTGTATGCTAGCTGTTTGAATTTGAAGTAGAGAGCACTATATGGCTTCGTAGTGGCGATTAAACGCCTACAAACTTCTTTGTAAAGTATGAGGCATCCACCTACGTATGTATCAAGCTATCAAAAACCCTGTTCAGATCACAATGGATAAATCTAGGCCTGAACATCTCAGTTTTGAGCTCTCCATTTCCCCTACCTTGTGTGTCACATGGAGGACACACCTGTTTTGAGTTAACTGTCCTGCTTGAGTTCAAGCAGGCGAAGAGCTTCGAGTGTTCGCATTTGTCCCTGTTCCCGACCTTTATTAGTTCATGCACACGCACACGCTTGGCTTCGCTAAAATGGGCAATTAAAATGCAAAACTTAGGTCGGGAAACGTTTCTTGTTCTCAATGTCAGCATTGGGCAGTTAAATGGTCTCAGGTGTTTTAATTGCATCAGTATCTGGTCGGAGTTGTAGTACTTGCCAGTGTACTCCCTCTCATGAGAAATCGCACCTACCTTCCACTTTCCAAACATGCCGTTCCACTAGACAATTACATCAGCTCAGCCACATTGCATGCCTTGATTCACAATAGGCAACAGTAGCTTTCAAATATGCCGTTTGGAAAGTCTGTTCACTTTGGAGACACTATAAGAGGATTAAAGAGGTATAGTTTAAAGAGCTCACCCACCACAAGTAGAACACCTGAGATTAGCTAGGTTTCACTACCTCTATCACTTTCCGTGATGAAGAATAAATTAAGGTGGGGAAGTGGGTACATCTGATCTGCACCTGTGTGATGAATTGCTCAGCCTTTGGGACAAAAAGCTGTTAGCATTATTATTTAACCTGCTGTATACTACTGTTATTGCGATGTGGCTGGATAGGTTCTGTCACTAAGCGCAACGGAATTCGGTATACTAACGTCCTCTCAACAGGCACCAGGGGCTCTTGTTAAGAGGATTCGATTTGCTGATAGTTTTTGGAAATATTTTCACTTGCTCGCGGTTGAATAAAAGCATTTGAAAAACTATTTTAGGTTGCGTGTCAGGTTCCTTATTACCGTTGTCCGTCCTTTCTACTAAATGAGGAGTAGAATATGAATATAGCTGTCTCGGTATGTGTGCAAATTCAGGCTTAATACATTACTGGACTGTGATTCGTCACTAGAAACTGCAATTAATTAACGAATAAAGAGAAAAACACATATCAGGCTTTCGGAGGTATACCGCTTCCGCTCCATGAAGAGAGCATCCTACATGGGAGATCAATTCCGATAACAAGATTTTCTACTTCTAATCAAGATTTCCTTGTGCAATCGAAGTCGGTATATGGAGAGAAATGTCGTAAAGCGCTGCACGATACAAGGTTGCATTGGACGGAAACTCGATCTCCGGGCTTTCTGAAACGAGGAGTTAGAAAGTACTGCTTAAATGGAGGTGAAGCATAAAAGAAGGGAAGAATATCCTTAGGAATGAGCGGCTTTTATTCGGAGATAGCTTTTGGGGGGTGGATATACCACTCATGCAATATTAATAACAAAGGCGCAAGGCCGATGAGCCCAGCTGTGCTAAATCCTTGTTGACATTATAAAAGAGGCTGTACTAGGATACTCTTGTAGGTTTCTGCCGCTTTTAACTTTCTCCCGATTAGTATCCTGAAGATGAGATGTCGTACTGCTTGATCGGGAATTCTCTTCGTATGACGACCGGTCTCCGCTTCTCAAATTTCATTTATATCTTCTGAGTGGTTTGGTTCCCATGAAGTTATTCAGCGAATGTCTTGCTCTTCGATGCGGACGCCTATACAGCTGATGAAACATGCGAATAATATCTGGCCAAACCGTTCAACGGCCTTTACCGCATGTTATTGAAGGTTTGCTCGGAAATTATGGAATCATTTCACAGTGTTGGCCTATTATCGTTTTATGCTAAAATCAACTTCCAGGAAAGCTCAGGAAGACGTATAAAGATGTTGAATTTTTGAAAAACTGTGTGCAAATACGGTTTTTGCTTTCGTGCCTCTTCCGTACTTACGCAGATAGAGAGGCTTCTCCATCCTGCTGTGGTTTCTCACGGATCCAACTGTGCTGTTTTTTCCGTTCGTCTCTGGCAATATGTGAATTCACTTCAGAGGGGCTTAGTTTGCAGTCATGTCTTTCGACGGAGGATTTCCTTGCTCACCCAGCGGTCTCGCTGAATCTGATCGCAAAATATAAAGACCCCTGTCCAGCGTAGGTAGTTCTGTGACGAATTACATCCACGAGAAATACATGTCACCCGAGCAAATACCTCCTGACGCCGTTCACTTTTTTTCGCTTTTACGCAAGTTTATTGATTTTTAAGTGCGCAGCTATCTGAAATAGTCCTTCGTTGATACGTTTTCTAAAGGTCTCAAGATGTTGGCTTGTATCCTCACACATCATTAAATGTTTGCTGACCTGGAATCTCTGGTATTACTCAGGGCTCATTAATGTTTGGTGAAAACCGATTTCGTTCGTGTGGGTTAGAAGCCACCGAGGATGGACGCGCAGTTGGAATCGTCACTTTCCATTGCATGTGCGGCGAATATCGGTTCCAAACAAACCACCGAGATGCGCTTTCACAGGAGGCAGTTGGTCGTCTTGAGCGTATTACTCTCAAGAACTGCAGTGTCAACACTTCACTCTTGCGGCAAAATATGGCATGCAGGTAGAGAGAAAACTTTTCGGCATCGAAGTAACTATTTGCTGGGAAATATATTACCACCAAGAATAAGTGTCTTGATTGCGTTGAATGCCGTTCCAGATCGAAACGTGTAGCTTCAAAACGTTTCCAAGTGAGTCGATCGACAAAAAAACAGCAAACGAAGTCACCTACCAACAAACCGATACCATAGTCTAAATTCACTCCCCTAGCAATACACAACTCACTGATTTTGGGCAGTACTCCGGTAATTGTAATTTTCGTACGTCCATACTTTACGGGCAAACTAACATTCAGTAGTCCCCATAATAAGTAATATCCTTGGGTAGTGCTCAGAGAGAGGAAGAAGGCCTTCGTTTCGGAGTTGTTTATTAGAAAATGCCAACTGAACAGTTGCAGACTATTGAACAGGGAAGGAAAACTCTCATGTGCACCCTGTTTACAAAACTGAATATCCATCTTCTCCTAGAGCGCGTTTTCCTGAACTTTCCTGGATATTCACTGACTGTTACTCAAATCCAAGCAAATGTGACTGCACAAGTTCCGTAATAGATCTCACTTTCCAAGAGACGCAAAGCGGTTTTACGAAAAGACATACTGCTCGCATGCCCTCAATCAGTAGTATCGCCGTTACACCAGTACCGGGACGGGAGGAGACTCAATACACCTTAATGAGGTTTTGTTTTCAAATAACTTTTCCTAAGTCAAGTGTCCCGACGCGTCTAGACATGAAGAAAGCACGTGTGGAGAACGACGCCTCCCCAAGGTCACCTTCGGTGCAACACGTTTCCGAGGGCAGGTCCGTTGGTGGAGCTGACCAAGCACCGCTTAGCAACATACGACCAGTGGTTGTGATGAGATGGTTCACGGCAGGAACGATGCCAATGGTGGACAAAACGAACAAGCAAACGACCATAATTGGCCATTTAGTCATCCGGTATATTTATGCAGAAGCTCTGTATGTCGACCCTGACAACACAGCCGTGTCCTGGGTTCTCTCTCTTCTGGTGGCAGGCTCAGTTCCGGCGTAACCAATAGACGGCCATCCACTATACAACATCAAGCAAACAACCAGACGATATCTCTAACTTTCCACGAAAGTTCCTCAAAGTCGGTCACTGAGAATCCTCTGAGGTCAGTAAAATTGTCCCGATTAACACTGCAGAAGATTCGATTTACGTTGATTTCACAAGGTGAACTACAAAAGTGGTTGACTGAATAAACCACTAGCGGGGTTCAGAAGGTGAGTCTCAGACGTACTTTTCATCTAGTGAAGCAGCCTGCCAAGTCTAGACATCTGTCATGTGAATAAAATCCAGTCTGGTGAGTAAGGAATGCATTTTTTAGTGATTAGAAGTACGAGGTCACACTCCATTTTCAACTTCAGCCCAGCAGTGGCCTGATAACACGTCATAGGTGCTGGATGAGGGAAGAAAGCAAGGTTAAGAGTTTACACCCAGCTGGCATTTCTAGCAGCAAGAGTTTAATGGTATAAACACACCCTCCTTTATAGACGTAATACGCTTGAAAAAAATCATAAACGAGAGATTCGGCTGCGTTCCAGATGAGTCTTCCCGTTTAAAACCAAATCGATATGCAAATGAATGTATGTATCTAACACTCTCCTTTCTTGAAAGCTCCTGTTGCAGGTACTGCGTGTGTGTGTGCACTTTGCGCTGACTGCAGGAAAGATGCCACTTAGTTCGCACATCCAACTATGCGGTATCCTGGCCACAAAACCTTCCACATGACACAAACGACAGGGCTACTCTTCAATTCCGAATGAAAGGACACACCTTCGACCGCCATAGCGATACGTAGGCCAGCCGCCTTGTGACGTTCCTTCGTCTATCAGCGCATGTTACATTTGGTAGGAAGCATTATGACACGTTACCGTTTCACCACGAGGGTTCCTCGCGGTTTTGTTTGGACACTTTTAGGCTCATTTTATTCAAAGGATATTGTAAATCATAGGGCATTTGGTGATGCGTTCTGGGATATGCTCTTCCTGTTAGGAGGAATCCTGTGACTCGCTAAAATCTCTTCTCCAGAAGTAACAACGCACTCGGGACTTTGGTCATTCGAAAGACTACCGTGTCAAGAGATTGTTCATTTGCTAAATTTATTGATTTTCGTCTCCGGGGAGGACGACCATATGCTTCCACATGGAATTTATACCCACTTCGTTCCACTGAATAGCTATTCAGTTCCTCCCAAATACAGAGTCTTGGATAGTTTGATGGGTGTTTCCAAAGGCCTATGGTAGAAAGAACATCGGGGAACTGTATACTCATCTAACACCCAAAATGTTTTCCAGAAACACACTCAATCGGAAATCAATTTGGTTTTCACGCGAGACTCAACTGAATCTCTCATTTATGTTTGCCTCAATGCATTCCACAATCAGCAAAACTGGAACACCAAACGAAAGCCTTCATAAAAATCGACCGATGTGTCAAAATATTCCTCAAAAGACATCTTTATGCATAGACAGTACTTTTAGAACGTGCTTCGTTTCAGTCACGTGACAAATTAAACGTCGATGCCCGTGGCTGCTTGGATACTCTACACACTGTCGTATGAAAGCTTACCTGACTTTTCCCCACATAATTTATCGTTGCCCTGAGTTCTTTCACCATTTTTACATTGCGCTTTATCCTGCTGTCACG